ATGTCCCCGTATAGAAATAAAAACCGCTTGACCAATCTTGATAAGTCTTGGCAGAAATGTTCCTTGGGTACCAACTTAGACCGTAGTGTATGTATTGTGGCACTTAAACAAACTTAAGACCCTCAAAAAAAAAAGAAAAGACCAACTCTATTACAGCAATAGTATTTTATGGATCTAGGCCATGTTTACAATGTTGACATGAGAAAAGATCAAAAGGATTTAGATCTAGATCTAATTTTAAGAAATACACTTTGCGCAGATAGTTTGTTACTTTGATACATGAAAATACAAAAGAATGTCCATTGATTTCATTATATTATAAAATTAACCTTCAAATTTGTGTTTCAAAACCATTTTTTACATACATTAGTTCATTATATCTGTGACTACAGATTTCCTGACGAACATTCTTTCATTAGACAATACCGAATGGTTACAGTTACACATTAACACATCTCTCTATTGCTAGGTCTAAAACTCTAAGATGATAAACCTTCTCTTCGCAAAGATAGTTTTATGCTTTAACACATGAACATACTAATTTTACTCCATTCATTTCATATTTTAATCAAATTAACATTCAAATTTGTTTTTCTTAAGCATTTTTAATACATTCGTTCGCTGTTTGCTAAGCTGCGAAGCCCTGTTGAGTTAGGCCTACATTCATTCATGAAAAAAGGTCACGCATGCGCAGAGCAAAGCCTTCACACAGCACAGAATGTACTCTACAAAAACCAATCTTTAACTCTAGATTATTCTAGATCTAGATCTATGTGACTGTCTCCCTCAAGATCTACTTTATACTTTAACACATGAACATACAAAATTAAGTCTATTCATCTCAAATTTTAATCAAATGTATGTAGGCCTCAAGCAAATGTTTTAATTTGAAAAAATGGATTTAAGCCTATTAGCTATTTTGATTTGATAGCTTCATTCATACCATTTTTACATTGACACATTCGCTTTACTTATTACATTATTATTTCATTTATATTAATTGTTTACAAAACACTCTCAGTGACTATATCGACAGTAATACGCAAATAAAGACCCGCGGGCGGGTAAAATATGTCTAGTGTATATATATATATACATACATGTTTATATTAATTAATATTATTTTAAATAAATATTTTTTATTAATTAATATTTTAAATTAATATATTAATTACTGATATTTTTCTTTTCATGTTTAAACAATTGTGAAGGGTTAGACTGGTAGAGACAGAGATTGGGTTTAACATGCTGGCAGAAACGTTTTAAATCCCCAGATAAAAAGAATACTCACCCAATGCTTACTTTTGAGCTGCCACTGATTTGTCTACTGTCGCCTGAGTATAAGACTGGGAATATAAAACCAAAAAAGAAATGTTTGTATGTTAGACAAGATAAAATTATTCTGACACCATTTTTGTTACTGTCTGATAGAAAAACATGGAGGACGTGAGTAATTTTGATGAAGAGTTCACGTCTGAGAGAGCCGTCTTAACACCGCCAAAAGACAGGAGGCCCTTGAATTCGGATGATCAGCGTCTCTTTAGAGATTTCGACTATGTTGCTGAATGGTGCTAAAAAAAATGTATCACAAGAAAGGAATATTTTCAACTCACAAGACCACTTCCCTGGAAATGTTTAGTAATGGGAGTTTTAAAACAAACTTTGTACATTCATGCACTATGTTTTTATTTTCTGTTTTAAACATGTTTGCAATGAAACTGAACAAATCTTGAAGGACATAATGTTCATTAATATCACTACTGTTCATTCCCTACTTTTTATTTTAAATTGTAGATTACGTTGTTAGGACCATACAGACCAGATGTTTTGAGTTATATTTGTTTACTTATGGTTGCTTCAGTGGGGGAATGAATTGCATAGTTGCCAACTAAATTGATTGTTGCTGCTGATGAGTTCAGAAAAGCTAAGGTGATGGGCTGTAAAATATGTTTACAAAGCACTAAAAAAAAAACATGAAATGATTCAAACACAAGAGGACTTCCTTAATCAACTGGTCACTGTGAATGCTATATATTTTTTAAAATTAGAAGATGTGATTGTGTAGGTTTATCATTCCTAGCTATTTACAGATTTAAAAAAAAAAACAGCAGTGCTGATAATCTCCCTAGGTACTTATGCACTGGTAATTATTTGACCTATAATAGACTTTTAGAAATTATTTTAATATATGAACAAATATTTTGTTTTATCAACTTGTTATTTTAAATGGAAGAAGTTAACTTTTTTTTAAGGTCAGGGAGCGAAAGTGATAAGAGTGTTGAATGTTTCTGAGTACAAACGTTTTCAAAGGTGCTGATTTTACTTTTGAGTAGGCTAGAGGTCAAAGGTTGCTAGTGTTCAGCATCCAAACACTTGGGCTTCCTTATTCATGAAGCAGTCATCAAGGCTTAAGATTCTCATGACAGCTGATTTGCTCAAATACTTTTGCCTTTGTTAGTAGCTATTGTGATGTTGTTTCATCGGACTCTACTGATATTAAACCCCATCTTCAACAAAAAACCCAGATTAATATAGTACATTATACCCAGCAGTTCATGATGAAATATATATGTGCTTGTGAAACAGTTTTATTTTTTTTTCATCTTTATTGTAAAATGTCAAGTCAGCATTAGAAGACTCAAGTCTTTATGAGCGTGGACTGGTCTTGGTGACTAAGTCTTTTAGTGTGGATGTGTGTATTTATATATATATAACCTTTATACTTCACGTCTGCCATATTCCAATGTGCTCATCTACTTATCATGTGTTCCAATGCATTTAACATTTCTATCTTTTTTTATTCTCTTGAACTTGTTCACTCCCAGGCACATACAATGTCATGGCTGTTGTGTTCTGTGCTGTGTGCTTGGCACACTTCATCATGTGTGAATGACTTCCTGTGCTGTAGCTGTGTACATACTTGACCCTCACCACATTTGTTTTCTCTACACCCTGCTATCCATTTCTCATGGACATTGAAAAAGTTGGCCTGGATGTGTTTAAAAGCTATGATCTCTAAAAGATTTATCACTACTGGATACTAACCAGTGACATAAGAAGCTTAGTCTTGTATCTGTTTTTTCTTTATAGTTAAACCCAGTCAATGGTGGAGTAATTTCTTCACCACTTACATATTAGTATTTGTATTGGTATAAACATTTTTTTTTGTCTTTAATTGCTCAATTGTATGTAACAAGTTCATGGTATTATGTCAATGTAAAGTAGAAAGCAAATTTAAAGGTGATTGTCATTTCAGAAAGTATCAGCGCTGTTAGACCTTGATGATAAAATTTGGCATAAATATTCTTTGGATCCAAATGGAGGCTCAGGGGTAGGTTAAAAACTAGCACCAACTTAGAGGATAGGAAAAGGGGCTACTTAAATTTAAAAAAAATGTTCACTTGTATAAACCTTGTTATATCTTTGTACTAAACCAGGGCATTGCTGTGTATCTCAGATTATACTAGTTTGAGTCAGTTTGATTGGATGGTGACAGAATTATTTTTATTTTGATTCAATTAGAACAAAATGAAGTTGTTGAATGTCTTGCTTTTGTCTTGTCTTGTACATAAAGTCTGCGGAATGAACTGGTGTCTCTGCAACTCTCTAATACATCCTACAATAGTTTCTTGAATAAAATATAAAATACCCAGCTTGTGACTTAAAGCTTTGGAACTTTCTGAGCATTTGGAAGAATTAGTTGCTTTTTATTTTCTAACCTTTTCACATGCACACAAACTGACCTGCAACCTTAGATAGTTGTGTATCAAATGTAACTCTGGTCAATTTTGTGTGGAATGATATTTCTCATGTCTGGTTGCCTGGTTGTTGCTGCTTGTTGCTTAACTTCTTTCTTGTCTGTGTTGTTGATTGTTGCTGCCTGGTCGTAACTAGGTCCGCATAGTCACTTGAAATGGTGCACTCATCTTAATATTAAGACTCAAAAGATAATTCACATTGTCTGGTCTTTTCATTGTCCCCAAAAACTTGGCCATAAGTCGATGTGTGTGTATTTCAGGGATAGTGAGTGGGCTAGGGGTGATAATTGGACTGGATGACTGCTGAACTATTTTTCTGCCATTTAATTTAATGCCTGGTCTAACTTGTGCTGGTCTCATTGGAGTGTGTAAGAGTTGACTCAGCATTTAGGGCCCTAAACCTTGGCATTGTTCTATTGGTATGGACTCCAGTGTGTACCGCTGATTGTTAGAACGAGCTTTGTTACTGTAATATTAGATTAGATTTTAGGACAACAGATTGAGTAGTAGATGTGAGGGGTTACACGACTGACTAAAATGTGTGTTGTGTGTGTGTGTGTGTAATCTGTTTGCACATTTCATGCCAAAGTTTTTTCTTATCTTGCTTCTACATTGTCCTAGATAATTGGTCTGAGTGACTCCTTGCTAAATAGCTGCTTGAAAGGTTTATGCAACATTTCTTCACTTGACTATTTTGTTGTAGCTTCAATAAAAAGGATCTCCCCTGCCTTCTTTAATGTACTAAATAAATTTTTGTCTTCTCTTGCAAGTTTGACTTCTGTCCCCTGCTGGTTCTGGGGGTACTGCTTGTTCTGGGGGTAACTGTAGCACTATTTGTTTCGCTAGTTTATGGGTCTCTTTGTGTATTAGATGTACATCTAGCCAGATGAAACTTAAAGATGGTGAACAGTTTTTTGCATATTTGGTTTGTCTTTTTATAGTATTGAGGGGTATTTGCTAAATGTATTACCATTGAAGGTCCTCAGGTTCTCTGTGTTAGTGTCCTCCTTTCAAAATGACTGACAGTGTCTCAGTGGACTTGATATGGAAAAAAAAACATTGGTCTGGTAGTTATGGAATTTACGTAATCAATTCTACTTAAAGAAAAAGTCAAACCATTTTATTTTGTCTACACTACTTCCTGCTACTGTTTATTAAGCACTGCAAGACATTTCTTTGCTGGTTGCAATCATTTGAACTGTATTGAACTATTGATATAAATATTTATATAAAGACTATATATATATATATATATATATATATATAATGATGCATTACACTTGTGTAAATGAATTCATTTTTGTCTGTTGTTATATATCGTTGTACAAAAATGGTAGTTGTTTTTTTTTCATCTAGCCAGATAAAAGTAGCTCTAACAACTAAAATTTCCCTGAGTGCCACTGAAACAAAATGTTTTCCCTATAATTTGGCTCTCCATGTCAGTGAGAGTCTGGCCTGTTTAAAGCCTAGCCTGTATATAATGATGCCTGGTGTACAAACAAATTTTTATCTCCATGTATTCTATTGTAAAGCTGTTCTTTTTATTTGTATTATTTTTTTAATTGGCAACATTTATTGACATGTAGTTTCTATTGAATGAATACACTGAATGAAGTTTATGTCTGCTTCTTTTTATTTCTTGTGTCTTGTCTGTCTGTTTTTTTATATGAACATTCATCAACATTGCCATACAGTTACTGGTCTTTAAAAGAAACAAAATAACATACTATGGCTAGTTTTAGTGAGGGTTACATTGTTAACTCCCTAAGTTTTAAGAGTTTTTTTTTTTTTACACCCTATAGAATGTAAACCAACTGGAGATAAAGCAATAGGAAGAAATGTAATGGCCTTAAAATGGAACCTAGAAGAGAATGTGAGAAATGAAGATAAAATGATTTAAAAAAAAAAAAAAAAAAAAGGCAAAATGTCAAAGACATCAATTTTAAAGATTTCTGTTGCCGAATAAATAATAAATTACTATCCATGGAAATTCATAAGTATTAATATTTCCCTTATTGTATCTGTTACACTGGGAAAAAAAAAAAAGCTGTTGATGGATAAGCCTCCATATATGTAAATACAGTAAGTATGTGCAAATTCATAAGACACGTCTAATGTATAAAACCCAGGAAAACAAGGAAGGCTTATTAACAAATTCATTTTGTTTTGGGAAAGGTGGGGGGTCCAGCTATGCAGTGTTTCCATTTTAACATTTACCAGTCAATTTGTCATGCATGTACAATTTCTTGTGTTACAATTCAGCGGTTCTCAACCTTTTATGCTCGGCGACCCTTTTTACAATCCCCCATTCTGCCACGACCCCCCAACACACACACATGCAGCAATAGAAGAATAGACAACAACAATCCATATTTTCGAAGGTCTTAGGCGACCCCTGGCTAATCATCAATCAACCCCCACGGGGGTCCCGACCCACAAGTTGAGAACCCCTGCGTTACATAGGTAAAGCTTGTAAAGAAAGTAAATTTTCTTTAAATTGACTTAGACATTTGTCATGCATGCCCATCATGATTTATGTGTTAAGGGTTAGATCTTTATATATAATTGATGATTTTTTGTGGTTAAACACATTCTTTAAGTAATCAAGAAAAAAACCCAAGTCAGTAACAATCCTAGACATTCCATGGAAGAAAGGGTGTTGAGGTCAATGCATTAAGTCAATAGTTATGATCTAATAGAAAGATGCACTGCTGGATGCGTCCACAAGTCAAAAGAGATTAAGTCAATTAGATAAAATATATTTTGAAGTCTAGTAATTTTGAACGACTGATATGTATTAACATAAAGAGAAAGGTTTGGTGTGGGACCACAGTATGAGATTAGTGTTTACAAGTGGCGATGTCAATCAAGTGATTCATTTTAAACAATGGTATTTGCTTTATTAATCTAGATCAGTGGTTCCCAAACTTTTTTGTTTCATATTTTCTGGTTTTTGGTAGACCCCCTGCTTAACTTATATTGCACATTTTTGCAAATTCATTAACTCCAATTTTTAAAACTAATTTCTAACTGTAGTGAGTCGAAGAGCGAAAAAGTAATTTATAGCTACATTACTAGTTAGAGAAATATGTATTTTTATTGATAAAATTCTAATTAAATTAATTAAACAAATTAAAATAACAATATGTATTACTGGAATCACCAAACACACTGGAAATGTGTTTTTTTGCATGTTTATCATCCGTTACTACGGATATTCTGTTTCATATAGGAATTCGTTGTTCTACGAAGTAGTCCTTCAAACATTAAATATTAATTAATTTGCCTTAAGTATCATTGTAAAAGTTTTCACAAAGAGCAGTTTCTCGTGTATTTCTTGATCTTTCATGTGTAGCTCAAATATTAGGTTCGCGGAACTGGTTTCACCAACAGGAAAAGGGGCGAAGGTGAGTTAATGGTGGCTTAACCAGTAAGCTTTGGGCAGAAAGGACTCATTAGCCTTTGTTGCAGCCCACCTATCCGAAGGAAAACAGTATTGAAACCTCTGCTGCTTTTGTGCAGATACACCTAAACATGGGAAAGGTTGCTTGGATCAGCAAGGGGGGGGGGGGATATTGAGCCGACGACCAACAGGTAGTTTGCAGCTTTAATGCTATACCTCATCCCACCGATGTGCCCTTGAACTGTAGTGTTACTTAAAGAAATGTGTTTCACAATATCAGATGTAGATTATTGTGACACAGTTTTTAAAACTATTTCAACGGCTGGTAAAATCAATGTTGTATCTATAGTGTTTTTCCATATTTGGCAATAAGTAAAGAAATCTTGTAAGACGCTCACAAACCATCATCTTCTCTATATTATGTTGGAGGGAGATGTTGTGGGTATATTCTGAATTTTATTTTTGAGTTTTTGCAATTTTTTACAACTTTATTTTTTTATCAGGGTGGCATCGTCTCAAATAATCCTCCATTGTAATTGGTTTCATATGGTCATAAAAAGGATCTTAGACAACCGCTTATTTGACGGGAATAAATAATCAACGCTGTAAAATCTAGATTTCTTTCTGTTGAACATTAGTTACATGTAGACACAATTAAAAAATTTAAATTTAAATGTATTTATCTATTTGTAAGTGAATGAAATAGTTACATTAACGGGGTGTAAAAATTAAAGTCATGACCTGCTTAAATGAAATCTATTATCGTAGACCCCCCGTGGACATCTCATAGACCCCCAATTTATTTTTTCGTAGACCCCTTGGAAGTCTTCGTACACCCCTTGGGGTCTATACAGACCAGTTTTGAAATCGCTGATCGCTGAAGTTTTAAACATATTGTGTGTGTCATAAAATTGGCCAATGTGACCTACAACTTAGAGACTTATTTTATAGACTTAGAGATTACTACACAACTATTTGATTACGTCATCACAGTTTACTTCAAGGCTGTTACTCCCCTGTTCCTTTTCTTATAAACAGACTAATATTAATGATCGAACTTACACAAGACGTACAAGAAACACATAAGTGAGAATCATAGGTGTAGGTCTAATGTGCCATTTATTTTCCTAATGAGGCTAGAATACGACGTGGCGGGGTGAACGTACGTCTGGCGTGGAGGGCTTGATTGTTGTCTACCAACATGACGTCTCCTTTCTCCCACATGACGTCCACAGCCAGTTGGTCCAATATCTTTTCCAGGTCCTCCATGATGGCGTCCGGCATCGGCGTGCCGTCCGAGAAGGTCACGGCTTTGCCAGGTGGGTTCCTGCTGTCCCTCCAGCCTAGATAGGCTGCAATTATGGAGTTGAACCAGACCTGTTGTAAAGATGTTTCAAGTATTATTTTTAAAAAATAGGACCTACAAATGTATATGCCTATATTTAAAACATGGACACTGACCATTGGGAAGACATAGCCCTAGATCACACAACGTGGAGAGAGATGGTGACCAAGAAAGCTATGGACAGCGAAAAAAACATGAGCCTTACCTCTCCTACCACCACAGCGAAAGGCCACCTTAACCTGCGATACATGTGGACGGGAATGTCTCTCCAAAATAAGGCTCGACAGTCACATGAAAAAGTGTTTTACGAGGGGAACTATAGTCGTTACGACTGAAGGGGGACAACTAATTAATATTTAGATATTTATAATTTATATATTTATATGCAGCGTATGTTTAATGCTTTAACAATTCAGCGCACTTTTTTTGAACTTTTTGTTAGGTATTTTTGTTCGGGGCACTTTTCGTGGTCTATAGGACAGCAGGCTAACATTATGATATTATGAACATCAATTAGTTACTTGAGAAAAATAAGAAATAGATTCCCCTTCCTTCCCCGGCCAAATGTTAATTTTTAATTTAAAGGACTCTTTTACTTTTTATTGATTGGACTATAAAGTGACATAAAAAAACAACTTCTCTTGATCCTAAGATATGCCCCCCTCCCTTTTTCCACCCTAATTCCTGGAAGAATCACCAATCAGAAGAAAGCCCTGTTAGGAACTATTTTTAATCAGCCTTTCTTACATTCTATCTAAGTGAAGTGTTCACATAACTACTAGCATATCCATGCGCTCCACGATATCCCTTATCAGCAGAGGAAAGCAGATACATTTTAAAAAAAAACTTGCAGATCTATATAACGGGTAAAGGTCATTTGGTTCTGTGACCCACTGTCAACGAAGATGTCACTTGGCCAGCACAACGACCAACCGACTTAACTTTTCCCCCAATTAATTTCAGTCGGGTGGATTTGGGTTGGGTGGATTCAGGGGTGCCCTAAAAATCTTAAAATTCAAAATAGCAGATCTAACAATAACTCAAGTAGAACTATTTGAGGGAACATACAGTATGTTCCGAGAGAGTCTTAGTTGTCGTTATAAAAGAAAACATTTAGGAAAAAAAAATTCCTTATAGATCTACATTTAATGTTCTGCTATGATCTAAAGTCGAACCTCTTTACCTTCCTGCCAGTTCGAATGTCTTCTTTTATTGCCGGTAACACGGCCGTGACAGTTTTTAAACCGCCGTTTGGCAACCATTCAAAACTAGTCCCCTGCTCTAAGCACTTCTTCTCTGCTTCTGCCTTGTCATTGGTTAAAAATGTCGATTTCCAGCCTCGACCGATGGGCGAGCTTGGATCGTCTTCTTCCGGTAAAATTCTGGTGTACTGTATTTTCTTTTGTTCAAGATCTCTGTTGAGCATTAGTTGAGAAATGAATTAATGGCACTATATCTAATATACTTACAAATAGAGAATACACTATAAACATTTCACTACGATCACCAATTATTAATTTCAAGGCCCCCATTGTCTCTTTTTTTTTTCGTAGAACAATAATTAGTACTCGATTACATTTGTGGTCGCCCCCATCTCCAATATGTGAATGTAATCAAAAGAGATATTTAAGCGGTAGACAGAGATATACTTGCTAGGGAAGACATAGCTCCAGACCTCACTACTTGGAGAGAGAAGCAATCAACAACGAACAGAAAACGACTGGCTCCTTCAAAGCATAGCCAGGCTTTAAGTTCTCTTGGGAAATGATGCTGGCGAGAATTCATCTCCGAAAAAGGGATTTATAGTTTATAATTATAGCTATAAACTCCGCCAAAGGAAGGTCCCATGCCCGGCTGAGATAGGAGAAAGT